TCTTAATTTGCTGTTGCATGGATCCGTATGATGCTCAGCATCTTTTCATGTGCTTATTTCCATTTGCATATTATGTTTGGTGATGTGTCATTTGAGATCATTTGCCCGTTTTTAATTGCTTGCTTGTTTTCTTATTAAGTTTTAAGAGTTTATTGCATATTTTGGATAAGAATCTTTATCAGGTTTGTCTTTCACACAAGTTTTCTCCCAATCTGTGGCTTTTCTTTTCTACATTTTAAAAAATTTCTGATATCAACATTTTTCACTGCTGTGCCGGAACAACTAATAAAATGAGTCTGTCTCTGTGGGAGATGGAAGACCCTCGTAGGCCTGGACAAGGAGACACACAGCACAGCTTGACTGTGCTGCCCTGCCCAGTACTGCACCCCCAGAGGCTACCTGATCAAGCCTGCAGCCATCTGGAATCCAGCTACAGTGTGTCTGACATAGCGCTCCAGACTCAGCTAAGGTTTCGTTGGGCATGAGCAGATCCTCAGCATCAGACCTTTGCTGTGGCCCTCAGACAGAGAACCCTGTAAAGAATGATGTTTGCAGAGTCAGGTTTGGTGGTTTTATAATCCATCCTAAGCAAGCCATAAAGTAAAAGCTCTTGACCATGTGGTTCATATAGAACAGCTCTTGATGTTATCACAGGTCAGATTCCATTATATGCAACTCCAAGGGATTGCTCCAATCACATGGGATTTTGCCATCTAGACTGCAACTTGAAATAAGCATTTGGGATTTGGGGAAATGTGTGCATTGACGGAAGTGGCTTTAGTATGACTGTATCTGGCCTGTGAAATCTTTGGTTTAGGATCAACTTGCCTGTCCCCTCCCCAGGCCTTTTAGACATATGGGATTTCTCTCACATTTTGTGTTTCTAAGTGGCTGAAAAATACCCAGTGAGTTAGGTCTGCATCTAGCTGGGCCACTCTTTACCCACAGGGACCTTGAGTGTATCCAGGGATGGACCTTATGGCCATTTGACACTTCTGTTTAAAGACACCAGAGGCACCTTTCTGCTTTTTCATTGTCTGCCACATTTTCCTGTATTAAACCTTCAGGGGAGCTCCACATCTGCCTGGAATTGTAGGAGGGCTGGGCTTGATTTACCTTTGATTATTGATATTGTCTTGTGTCCTGTATCTCTCCCTGCCCCTTTTTTCACCCTAGGTGCTATGTGGATAGCTGTAAGCTGCCATGAATTCTGGCTCTCTCCTGGAGAATAACTTAGGTAGCGACTAATTAAAAATTACAAACAAAATAAATAAACCAAGCAAAAAAATCAGAATGATAAACTAAAATATGATTTATCTGTTGTTTGCCAGTGCCATTCTCCCTGGCAATGGGGAAAGTTGGCAGTTCAGGAGGTTACTATCTTGGGCCTTGTCCCTGCAGCCCACCAATGGTGACAGAGAGTGAAGGGTCTGTCATTGCTCCTGGCCAAGGCTCTTTCTGACCATTCCTGTCAGGGAGGCCCGGTTAGGGAGGCAACCTATGTCAGTAAGATGGGGGTGGCCGGCTCACAGGATGGATGCTGGAAGCCTGGGGCCAGACAGAGGGCATGCACAAATGTGAGCTGAGTCAGGGTTTGCAGCATTGGGGCAGGTCTCCAGAGGCACTTGTGGAAAATGTTTTGCTTTGTCTAGGAGCCTGATTCTTTTTTTTTTTTTTAAGAAGTTTTTATTGTTCATATTATTACAAATGTTCCTTCCCCCCACCACCACCATTGCTCTCCTCCACCAGGTTCCCACCCCACTCTCTATCCCCTCCCCACGCCCCCATTGTCCTCATCCATAGGTGCACAGTTTATGTTCAGTCTCTTCCCATATCCTCCTCTCCCGTTTTCCCCAAGAATCGTCAGTTCACTCCCCTTCCGTACCTCTGATTCTATTATATTCAACAGTTAATATTGTTCATCCGATTTTTTTTTTTAATTTCCTTGGTTTTTAGATTCACTTGTTGATAGTTACGTATTTGTTGTTCATAATTTTTATCTTTATTTACTTTCTCTTCTGAAAGAACCCCCTTCAGCAATTCATATAATTCTGGTTTGGTGTTGATGAACTCCTTTAGCTTTTTTTTATTAGTGAAGCTCTTTATCTGGCCTTTGATTTTGAGTGATAGCTTTGCTGGATAGATTATCTTTGGCTGTAGGTTCTTACTATTCATCACCTTGAATATTTCTTGCCATTCCCGTCTGGCCTGCATGGTTTCTGTTGAGAAGTCAGTGGACAATCGTATAGGTGCTCCTTTATAGGTAACTACCTTCTTTGCTCTTGCTGCTTTTAATATTCTCTCTTTGTCTTTTGCTCTTGGAATTTTAATTATGATGTGTCTTGGTGTGGTCCTCTTTGGATTCCTTTTGTTTGGAGTTCTGTGCGCTTCCTGGACTTGTAAGTCTAATTCTTTCACCAGGTGGGGAAAGTTTTCTGTCACTATTTCTTTCAGTATGTTTTTGATATCTTGCTCTCTCTCATCTTCTGGGACCCCCATAATTCTGATGTTGGTTCGCTTGAAATTGTCCCAGAGGTTTCTTACATTATCTTCAATTTTCTGGATTCTCTTGACTTCTAGCTTCTGTGGAGGAGTGTCTTCTGGCTCTTTATGTTTCAAATCTTTGACCTGATTCTTGTGATCTTCCATTCTGTTTTTAGGACTCTGTATAATATTTTTTATTTCAGACAATGTGTTCTTTATTTCTTGTTGATCCCTTATCATTTCTTGTTGACTCCTTATTAATTCTAGTTGATCTCTTTTCATATTCTCATAGATCTTATCCATCTTTTCTAGGAAATTCTTAAAAAACCTTATAAGCGTAGATTTGAACTCTATATCCAGCTGCTTTTTGTCCTCCATTTCTCTCGTTTGTGGTCTATTTCGTTGTCACATTTCGCAGTTACAGATGGGGCGGGGTTTCAGGGTGGAGCCTGCAGCCTTGGCTTCCGTCAGCCCCGCCCTATGCGGATCCTTCAGTACTCGCTGCAAAGGTGCCCTCGCTTTTCGCCTGCTACCAAACAGTCTATGCTCTCCCCCAATGAGCCCAGTATTAGGGTTCAGTTCAGTTGGAAGTGGAGTTGGAGGAGGCGTTCAGAGCAGTCTGGAGTCCCTGTCTCCTTCCCACCAGGCAATCCCCCGGCACAGCCGACTGTCCCTTCTTGCGCTCGATATGCGCGCCGCCGGGACCTCCTTTTGCTGCTCCCCCGGGGTTCTGCCTTACAGCCCAGCTCCCTATGGATGAGCCTGGGACCCTGGGGTCTGGCCTAGGACTGGGGTTCAGAGCAGTCAGAACTGGGGCCCAACACAGTCGGAGTTTTATCTCCTTCCCGCTAGGGAACGCCAGCCAGGCACTCCGCCTCCCTTCTCTCTGGCTCCGTCCTCTCCGCGAGCCTTGTGTCTCCATACCTTAGGCTTTTACAGCTCCTCCGCGCTTCCTTCTGGTTTTCTCCTTGCTTCTCTTTGTATAATTTCCAGTCAGTAGACTTTCCTATAGTTCTGGGTAATGTCCATTTTATATTTTAGTTGTATTTTATTGAAATTGTTGTGTGCGGTTGCGGCTAGGTGTTTACCTGGACGCAGCCATCTTGGATCTCCAGGAGCCTGATTCTTAAATTCTAGAGAACACCTGTTGTTTCCATACCTGGTACTGAAGTATCTGGCTGTGACTGTTGGGTCATAAAATTGTACTCTAACCCCTGCAGATGGAAGGCAATACCAACAATTACCATGAAAACCATGAATATTCATTAGACCCCTCATGATGATGATTAATACCCTTAAAGCTATAACTGTCTGAACTCTTTTATGGACAATTGAGCTTGAGAATGGTTTATTTTAGTTTGTCTACATGGGAAATTAATTTTTGACATGATAATTAACATTACTATTGATTTCTTCTCAAGTTTATCAGAATACAAATGGTATCTATCAAATAAGAGCTTAGAGATATTTAGCTCAGATCACATCCCTGAATTATTTTGCTAACAGACATTCTTGAGTCAGGGAAAATACCGCCCTTCCCCCAACCCCGTGCCACACACACTATTCACTGTGCTATAGATCCAACCAAACCAGTGTGTGTTTATGGGGTAGAATTGTATAAAAGGTGAACACAGTGTTCAAGAGTCAACTTATAGCTAAGTCTGGCTTTATGACCTTGAGCAAATCACTTTTAACTTCTTAAATATTGCCAAACATGAGTAATGATTGGTAGGGATTGTGATAATGAGTTTATTAATGGTTAGGGGATCTAAAAATATTATATATATATATATGTTTATATCTTTGTCATAATTATAAAAATTATAAATGCCATCTTCATACAAAATTTAAATTTTGCATTGAGCTTTAAATTTATTCATTGTATCCGAAACCGGTTTGACTCAGTGGTAGAGCGTCGGTCTGTGGAGTGAAAGGTCCCAGGTTCGATTCCGGGCAAGGGCTTGTACGTTGGCTGTGGGCACATCCCCGGTAGGGGGTGTGCAGGAGGCGGCTGGTCTATGTTTTTCTCTCATCAATGTTTCTGGCTCTCTATCTCTCTCCCTTCCTCTCTGTAAAAAAAATAAACAAATTTTTTTTTTTAAATTTATTCATTGTACATTAAGATGAGTCTTCAGTTTAAGCAGCAACCAAGGCCTGACCAGGGTGGCCAAGTGGTTGAGCATCGACCTATGAATCAGGAGGTCACAGTTCGATTCCTAGTCAGGGAACATGCTGGGTTGTGGGCTTGATTCCCAGTGGGGGGCTTGTAAGAGGCAATCAATAGACAATTCTCTCTCATTATTGATGTTTTTATCTCTCCCTCTCTCTCTCTGAAAAAAAAAAAAAAAAAAATATATATATATATATATATATATATATATATATATATATATATATATATATATTGTTTTTTGTTTTTTGTGGGTCTTTTTTTTAGCAACCCAAAGTTTGGGTTTAGGATACTGAGATGCCTTTAGAATAAAATGTGTTTTTGTTTGCTTGTCATTTCTTTATAGGCCAACAGAGCAATAAGCACCATTGGGTTTGTGACAGCTGCTGCTGGCGCCTTCTCATTCCTTGGCTTGTTTTTCAAAAGACAAAGAGTGAAATACCATTAACAATTTACTGAAGAGATATTGAGACTGAAGAAATTTGTCGGGGGGAGAAGGGAAGAAATGCCCTGGAATGAATACTTATTTTCAATGCATCATTATAATTTCAAACTCCAATGATGGATGGCGAGCTCTTTAATAAATTGCTTACTGATATTATCTCATCATTGAGCTGAGGAAATTTTTCTTCCTACTAGCATAGATTTTTCTGTGGCAGTTTGGACAAGAAGCAATAACCTTTTTAGTGACCCAGCAGAGGATCTTAACAAAACCACAGTATATTTTATCTTATACTATAAATATAAGTTTCCTTTTCCCTGAGGGTGGCTATTTTGTATTTTCCAGGAGAAAAAAGAACAAATTACATGAGATTTTGAAAAAAATGAGAAGAGCTCCAAATTGTTATGGTTGACATCTAAATTAATACTCCTTTTCTGGTGAGAAAAGAAATTGGAGAATTCAACATTTGGCTAAGCAGATTGAGGGACTTGGGTTAACAAGCCATTTGAGGGTGCACACCCGTCCTCTTGCTCTTGCCTGGATGAGTGGGAAAGGGGGCTTTTGCTCCAGTGTTTCAGATCCAGTGATTTCCCTGGAAATGACTCATTTATCAAAAGTCTGTGACAAACAAGAATGAGCTGTTACTTTTACCTAATGTGTTCCCTGTGGATTTTGAAGTATTTCAAGGGTTTTAACCTAGAAAGAGATCCTTAAAGATGTAAGGGGCCATATTTAGAAAAAAATATACCATATTACTTTTTTAAGGTTTTCACTGTAAGTCAAGGAGCATTGTGATTTTATTCTTGCATTTTATTGATTATGTGTTGAATGAAACAAATTACTTTTTAATACCTTTCCAGTAGAATTCTTGTTGGCAGCAGGTGGTGAAAAATGATTGCAGGTCTCTATACCCTAAGATTTTATTGTACAATTGTAGCATAGCACTGCTTTACCAAACACACTAGCAGCCAATGACATCATTAAAAGCATGGCATTAGATAAAGGAAATGTTCAAGTAAACATTGAGGGTGAGTGCAATGAAGGAACTAGGAATTTATATAGTAAAAGGGTAATATGCTAATTAGACCAGGAGACCTTGCAAACATCCTTCTGGACATAGCCATAGTGTCAGGGCCGAGGAGAGGGCAGTTGGGGTGGTCAGGTTGCCAGGCCAGGAGGAGAGGGCAGTTGGGGTGGTCAGGTTGCCAGGCCAGGAGGGGTGGTAAGGTTGGCAGGGGAGATAGTTGGGGATGCTCAGGCCAGCAAGGGGGGAGGGCAGTTGGGAGTGAGAAGGCCAGCAGGGGCGGCAGTTGGGAATGAGCAGGCCAGCAGGCAGAGTGGTTAAGGGCAATCAGGCAGGCAGGCAGGTGAGCGGTTAGAAGCCAGTGGTCTCGGATTGTGAGAGGGATGTCCAACTGCAGTCAGGCATCCCCTGAGAGGTCCCAGATTGGAGAGGGTGCAGGCCGAGCTGAGGGACACCACCCCCTGTACAGAAATTTTGTGCACTGGGCCACTAGTATAATAAAGGGACAGAAGACTCTATGAAAGACTTGAACCTATTAAATGGATTCTGATTTTACTCCAAGGCTAAAAATACTCTACAGTTTAGCTGCAAGGTTAAGAATAGTAGTAACAAAAAGGGTCACTTATAGCAATCAAGGCCAGTAGAGATCTTAGCTCTTCTTTCCCTTATACCTTGATTTTTCCTTTTTCAATTTTATGGCATCTCTCTTCCTCCACTGGACCTGGGTGGGAGGAGGGGAGTAATGGATATCTCCTACCAGATACCATGATCTAAAACTACCCATTCATTTTTTCTAAATTTAGTTTCCTCTTTCTTTTATGTCCTGTCCTCAAGTAATAGTTTTAAAATAATGAGTACTTATCTAGTACTGTCAAATTAGGGTGAGATTGATGGCAGTTTAATGTATTACCTCTCCCAAAATGTGTTTATCCTATATAATAAAGAGGTAATATGCAAATTGACCCTCACACTCTCACATCACAAAGATGGCCACCCTCATCACAAAGATGGTCACCCTCATGTTGTCACAAGACAGCCACCCCCCCCTTTCCCACAAGATGGCCACAACATGTGTCACAAGATGGGCACCCCCATGTCACCACAAGATGGCTGCCACAAGATGACTGCCCCCACATCATCATAAGATGGCCACCACAAGGTGGCCACCCCCACATTGTCACAAGATGGCCAGCAGGGGAGTGCAGTTGGGGGCAACCAGGCCGGCAAGGAGGGCCGTTGGGGGGACCAGGCCTGCAGGGAAAGACAGTTGGGGGTGATTGGGCTGGCAGGAAAGCAATTAGCAGGCGAGCGGTTAGGTGTCAATCAGGCCAGAAGGGGAGCAATTAGGCTGAAAGGCAGAGTAGTTTTGGGCAATCAGGCAGCCAGTCAGACAAGTGGTTAGGAGCCAGCAGTCCTGGACTGTGAGAAGAATGTCCTACTGCAGGTTTAGGCCTGATTCCTGTGGGACTGGCAGTTGGACATCCCCTGAGGGGTCCCAGATTGGAGAGGGTGCAGGCTGGGATGAGGGACACCCACCAGTGCACAAATTTCATGCACGGGCTTTTTAATAAAAGTGACTTTGGAGGGCAAATCTTAACCCAAAACAGGAGTCTTGGGTGTGGTGGAATTATCGATAAAACATTGGTGGATGGGGGAGGGAGCAGAAATTAGAACAGACAAGAATAACTCATGTCAAACCTTTCTAAAGAACTCTGGACTTCACCACTTCAGAAGACATGCTACATAATGTCAAAAATACACTTTTAGTTTTTTAAATTTATCTTTATTGTTTGAAAGCATTACAGATGTCTCCTTTTGTCCTCCCATTGACCCCCCTCCACTAAGAGCTCCACCCCCCTTCATCTTAGTATTGTTCATGTCCATGGGTTATGCATATAAGTTCTTTGGTTAATCTCTTCCTATCTGCCCTCCCCTCTTCTCTCTGAGATTCTTCAGCCTGTTCCATGATTCCATGTCTCTGGATCTATCTTGTTCATCAATTTAGTTTGTTCATTAGATACCATATATAAAGTGAGATCATATAAAACTTGTCTTTCTCTGATTGGCTTATTTCACTTATGTACTTATATAAATTTATGGATTAATTTTTTACATAGATAGTGTTCAAGGCTCCAATAATTTTTACCCTTGAAAGTAAGCTCACAATTAGTCATCAATGTTCCCATAAAAATGGCCACTTCTGTTCATGGGCAGTTTTTTTATAGGTCAGCAATTTTCAACCAGTGTGTGGTGTGCCGCAGGAAAAATTAAAACATGCAGTAACTGACTATTTAGTCAGGGGCACCTATCTCTTTTCCCATAGATTGTCAAATAAAAAAATGACAACAGCCAGCACAACAATAGCCATCAGTGTAAATGAATCAAAATTATACCTATTTTGTTGTCAGATCAGGAAAACATATAGTTTTTGGTGTGTCATAAAATTTTAGCAACCAGTTAATGTGTGCCATGAGATGAAAAAGGTTGAAAATCACTGCGATAGGTGATCATTTGATAAGTGGCCATGCTCACTCTGCTTTTATCAAAGTTTTTCCCCAAGACTATTAAACCTTTCTCTGAGCATACATTTAGCAAAGTTAAGTATAGATTTCAACTTTAACATATTCTACTTTTTAAGAAATCTTTGAAATAAAATGATTACCTATCAGATACCAAAAAGGTTGTTGGAAAAACTGAGGCAAAAAAAAAAGGTGTACATTTATTAAATCAAGATTTTAAGAAATCTTGTTATGCTATCTGTCATAGGGTATCAGTTGAATCTTCTTGTACTAATGGTCAAATTATTAAATGCCTGAGTTACATATTTTTTATGTTGGCATATGATTTTTTATCATTAATTAGTAGCTACTAAATAAGACACATCTTGAAAATGATCATTCTCCAAGAGCTGCGCACCAAAATAAAAACAAGGTTTTGCAAATAAAATGTAAATATAAAGGGTTGTTTTTATAAAAATTTGTATTTATGCTATTGGTTTGTGCAACAAAGCCTTTAGTCCTATTTACAGAAACAAATTAATGAATGTAAAAAAATTGTTTTTCCTTCTAAAGCGGTTGTTCTCAACCTTCCTGAGGCCTTGACCCTTTAATACAGTTCCTCATGTTGTGGTGACCCCCAACCATAAAATTATTTTCATTGCTACTTCATAACTGTAATTTTGCTACTGTTAATGAATTGTAATGTAAATGTCTTTGTTTTATGATGGTCTTAGGCTCTACAGCAGCGGTTTCAACGACCCACAGGTTGAGAACCGCTAGCAGAAAAGGAATTTTGTGACCTTGAAATTTTCAATGAAACATTATTGAAAGCATACACAAGTGTTTGGCATATAATTGGCACTCATGGAATGGGATGGTTACCTAATTGCCTATGAAGTATTAAAGTTCTGTTAAGTTAGCAAAATTACATTGATTATTACAAATAATGCTTCATAGATAATATACAATGTTAACTTGGAATAAATGTCCTCTCAGGTCACAGTGGTGTTGATAGATACAAAAGAGAATAGTGGACACAATATATTTGTAAAGGATGGACCCGTTCTTGTGGTTGTTAATGTGCATTGAATAGTTATTCAGATAATGATTTAGATAATGAAAAGATGAAATGAAACTTAAAATTGTTTAGTAGCTCGAAAATTGTCATGGTGTAGAAAAAAACATTATGGGTCCATCCTTCCCCTAAGATTGTATGTGTTTTAAGATGAGTAATCCTGACTTTGGGCCAACTTTTAGAGTTTAAAAAATAAAACAATTTAAGGATTTCACCTGTTAGTACTGAAGAGTAAATAAATGTACTATACTTCTTTAATGTAAAAGTACATTTTAACCATTTATTTTATTACCTTTGTGATCTACTCTGGACATAGCTCATTGGCCCCAAAATAATATGTTTTTGGGAAATGCCGTCTTTGGTGGAGTTTGCTTAGATGCTAGCTGAGCCCAAGCCCAGATTATACGAG